TACAGTTGTGCCTCAGCAGTGACGTACATGATGTCTTCAGTGCGGTGTGCTCTTCTGTTCAGACGTTAGTGTGGCAGCACATTCGTCGAGCTGTACTCTGCGAGCACGCACGTCGACATTCTATCCATGAACAGATGGCGCAGTGAATGCGGTGCAACGCAGTTCCAAAGCTTTCTTGTGAGCTGTTGCATAGGCGCTGGCCGACACCTCAGTCCGTGATGAAAAGGGTTCTCAAGCTGTGGTGATGGTGATGGCGATGCGTGATGACGATGACGGTGGTCATGATAACGGTGGTGATGCTAGTGCTGCTGGACACGGGGTAGTGATGGCGAAGATCACGGGGTCATGGCGACACTGGGCTTTACAGCGGGAGTACTGTCGTCGCTTTGGCTAAGCCCGTGACATCCCGTGACTATAGGTCATTGCTGTTGATGGCGACAACTACTCTGTCACCCCATCAGAATCAGAATAATCATAATCACCGTCCTCTAGGCTTTACTAGAACTTCGTCACGCCACTACTGGCAGGCCGTGTCGAAAAGGCATCCAGCCTCTTCACGTAGCCAAACCTGGCAAGGGACCACACTCAGCCAGAAAACAAATTCTTAGAAGGCGGACGTGCGCAAGGATAGTATGTTCAGCAGGCAATGAAAGGGCCAAAGCCGCGCCACAAGCAGAGTTTGCCCATCGCAGATAGCTGCGGGTCATGTTAACGCCCGTCAGAGCAGGCGTTCGACCCAGAAGAACATGGTCTTCCCACCAAGCTCTGAACCTGAAGCCTCAAAGCACTCTCTGCAGGGTCCTGCCTAATTACTGTATTCTCCGGGCCCCGGGCTTTAAAATGCTGGCTACCCGTGCAGCCACCGTGTCGCTGGGAATGGCAAAGCCTACCTCGTTGGCAGGAAACCCCGAGTAGGTTAAAACAAGCATGTTGATAATGATGAACTAATATGTCCTAGGCGGCATTATGCTCTGGAAGAGAAGGTACAGTAGCTATCTGGTGGAACCAATCCGAAGGTGAAGGTTCCAGGCCCCCAGACAACCTCGCGGATTGGCTGCCGCACTACTCATCATTGCTCCATGTAGCTCGCTGGCTTGGGGTGTGCTATGAGAATACCGTCAGGCCCACCCGCGCACAGTTTCCACGCCAGAGGTGTAAGTTGGGGCCCTGAATAATAAGAATAGGGTTTTGGAGTAGGTTGTGGTATACTCTGGTACTTAATCAACAACCAGGCCCCTACTCTGCGCAAGCGTCCCCCAAGCCGGAAGAAAACTTGCACGCCGAGGAACACCTGCCGAGGCTCCCGAGGGCGAGAAAATGGCCGTGTTCATTCCAATCACCTGCGTTCTTTGCATAGGATCGAGGGTAGGAAACGGTCCAGGGTTTCGAGGAGTTTGAGAGGCTCGTTCAACAACGGCCAGACGTTCAGGGACAAGTGGTTACACCGTACATGCCTGGACGAGGAGCCATTGATTCCAAACCATACTAGTAAAGTGCTTAGCCATGTCACAGACAAAAACAGCAGGATCGAGGATTGTTGCTTTACGGGCGCCACGATGGGGCACCGCCCAAGTCCTGATGAGACGAACCTAAACTACCCTGTGAGTGACCCTGTAAACACTAACCGCTTTTGGCAGGCTTCTCTCGCCCGGAACTGCCGTCGGCGTGAAGCAGTGCAGTGCTCATGACAGCGCAACCCCGCACAACGTGTACTCATGACAAGCCATGCAGTTGGACAGCCCAGCTGTGAGGAAATATTGTACTCAAGACAACAAACTTAGACTTCTGAACCCTGAAACCGGAACCTAATGCCCTCATATGCCCTTTTTCTGAGCAGGGACTGCAATGCACTAAGCCCATATGAGGGCTCAGCCCCATCTTGTAAGACCTGAGTCAGATCCGTGATCGGTGGCCTGCCCTCGGCTGTTGAGCAGCGGTCCTCCGCTGTTCCTGGTAGGATCCGCAGCTTGTGGGGAGCTCTGTGACCCTGAGGGTCCAAGTACCCAAGAATCATATACTCTCAAAAGCAGTATAAGCTACATAACCTCTGTCCGAAACCAGGGTCCTTTAGACCCTTTGGGGTCAAGGCATGAACACGAAAAGCCGTGGCGACTGATGCACTGCACCCCGTCAACGACCGCTGAGCTTAGTGCAGCCTTGTACATGTTCCGAAAAAAAACAATCCACGCCCAACGGATGCAACAAAAATCGGTGCGCGTTGCCTGACATGTCGATGCGCACAAACAGTCTCATTGCTGCATCGGGACCAGGGCCCAAGCCCCGGATTGATGGAAGCATCGGTCTGGATGGCGCCCTGAATCGGCCTCCCTCCCACAGACCTTGGGCACTGATTTTGCTGTTTTGGTTTTTGCCTGCAGCACCTGATTGCCCAGTTTCAGAGGGGCAGTAGGATGTCGGTTACAGTGTTGGGACGCACTTCCCCGCTTGACGGCGGAGCCTACGCCCCCTCCTCCTAAACCCTAACACCATAATACTTTCCCGTAGCTGAGGATTCCCGTACCGCTAAAAGTACAAAAAACATAACCATTAAAACCCCATTCTTTGAACCTAGGCAGAGAAACTGCTAACTCGTGTGACCTCTCATCTCAGAAGCCTTAATTGCCTTAGCCCAGGCCCTTTTGCATCAAATGCCTAGACCCTTGATCATAGAGCTGTAAAAACCATAGGAAAAGCTGCTGTTTTGCGGGCCGAAGGGCTGAATGGTGCGCCCAACACCCGAAACAATGCCCTGGCAAAGCGTTGCTCAGGTCCAGCGCAGGTTTCTTTAAGGTCGGATCCTTCAAGGGTTGAGGGGTCTCATTGCACTCATGGGAGCTTCTACACATTGAAATCATCAAGTATTCAAAACCAAGGTTCATCTATTCAGGATCACACGCACTTAGGGTGCTTATGAAGCTCCTTAATTTCGGCAGCTTCCCTCAAGCTTGCCTCCAGATCATCCATACATAACAAAATTGTATTCTGTGTATATATTATATGTATCTGTGTATGTGTGAAGCTCCTATATATTATGTAAACGTTTGTGTGGATGCATGTATATATAAATGTATATCCATGCTACAGTCTGATTTGCTTGTATGTTAGGGTGTACAGGTTGTTCCACTGAGCTACAAGTAAAAATAAGGCCGAACTCCCACCCTGTGCCCCACCTTTGTCAGCGTGTGATCCAAGCCAAACCTCGAGACTCGTCAGGAGGCATGTTCCCACTTCGTTCTGCGCGCTATGCAATTCCCTTGTCATCGACTGGAGTGATGTTCGGCGAACCTCTTTGACCTCTGGAAGACCCATCATGCAAGGCCATGATAGGCCTTGCACCAGCTGACTGACGGTCTTATCTTGGCACGTCATCGTCTCTCACACGGCATGCGTGTTTGAGTTGAGATGCTCGCATATGCATAAAACCTACAGTAGGTAACTGTACATAGCACATAATATGCAATACATGTGCGCATACATTCATAGGCACATATGTACATTCATACATACATACATACATACATACATACATACATACATACATATACACATACATACATAAATCCATGCCTACATACCTACGGACATATATAAATACACATCGCTCTTTCGTTGCCTATCTACTAGGCAGAGAGAGAGAAGCGTGGCAAGATCCACAGAGTGAGAGATAAAGAGAGAGCGAACAAGGACAAAGAGTGCCACTGACCCACAAATGAGCAAACACATGCTCACACTCGCACGTTCACATTCACACGACACACAACAGAAATACATGTGCGCGCAAGTACATACCTAGGTACATACATACATACATACAGACATTCTTAAATATGCTCATAAGTACATACATACATACATACATACATACATGCATACATACATACATACATACATACATACATACGCACATACATACGCACATACTTACATACATACACATGCCTGCATGCATGCATACGTGCTAGCACATCCCTTCATAGGTACACAAAAGTTATTTGCATACATGCATACTTACATACACGTGAACACATGCATGACTGCATTGCATGCATACATGGTACGATACATGCATATGTACCTACTTCCTGACATGCATACTTGCTTACATACCTTCAATTAGAAAGAGTATGTGCGTACGCACACACACTACGCTCATTCTATGTGTATGTATGTATGTATATATACATATGTATGTATATACATATATATATATATATGTGTGTGTGTGTGTGTAAACAAGTATATGCATACATGTTCAACTGTTCACTTGTTCGTACACATTCGTGTTTGTTTTTGTTTTTTTCTCTCTCTCTCTCTCTGCCTCTACCTCTCCACTTAACTACACCATCCGTCGCTCGTGTGTGCCTTTCAACATCACTAGTCTGACGCCACTCCCAACTGTCACACAATGCCGATTGCTCACCGAACCTACACGCTTCTGCCATGTTCATGCTCCAGCTACCCAGCCGGTCAAGTTCAAAGTCTATCCCACATCTTATAAGCAAACAATCCCCTTACAGTCCCTGCAGTATTGTCATATTAGACCCAGAAGTCTCTGGAAGTGCTTGCAAGGCACGGGTTTCCGATGGCCAGGACCTCCTGTCCAACCCGGAGGTTGGCAGAGGAGCCTCTAGCGACTGTGACCACGCTGTCCAGAACACACACACTCACACACACGCACGCACAACACACACACGCACGCACAACACACAGATCTTCTCGAGGCTTGAACACACCACACCCTCAATCCCCCGCGCCTCGGCTAAGTGGCCGCAGCATTTCTTTTTTGGTCTTGGAAAGGTCAACCTGGCCACTAGCGAAGTTTGAGAATGAGAACAGGATTGAAGGATTCAAGCCTTGAAGCCCGAGGACTGTTCTCATCCATGTTCACAAGGAAATGGTACAGATTCTTGGGCTAAGTCTTGCATGCCATCTGAAATGGGCGGATCGAAAAACTTCGTCTCGCACTTCTCGTTCTCTCGTACCTAGTGAAATCTTCAGCCCTGCTGGCGCATTGGGCGCTTGAAGGCGGTGTCTAAATGTATCTAAGCTTCGAGCGCTGGGCTGGCTAGAGCTGGGCATCGTCTCAGAAATCTTCGAAACGAAAGTAAGTAATGGCGAGGCAGTGCAATCTTCAGGCTGTCGGGTTGTGAAGAAAAGAGCGGGTAGGAAGAAAGGGATTTGAGTCTCTTATGGTTGGCAGGCCTGGAAAGAAGTGGGGGTGCTAGAGCTGCAAGATTAATAAACCTTGGCACTGTGATGAGCAGGCTGTGACGAGTCTTCTCGATCCTTTTAACGCACTTGCTGCCTCGGTAGATAGCAACACGCTGTGCTTGTTCAGTCAGCAGAATGCCGTGACACCCAGTCGAACCAGTAACACTGAGAGAACCATTTCACATCCAGTCGCTCTGGTTCGCTGAGCGCCAAAGAAGCTGAGGTCTGCGAGCGAAATCCCCAAACCTCCACGAGACCACTCCTGGAGCACGGCGACATCGCTGTAGGGGTCAGCACCAACCACTTTGGCCAACACCTGGAAAGGCCGTAGGGCATCTCCAAGCCCAGAATTACCACTGGGGTGCGCAACATCACAACATGCCACTAAATATGCGCACCAGCCAATCACAATCCCGATCAATTATTCGAAAACCCGTCCCTGACCAGACCAAAGGAACCGAACGAATCGTAACTGCAGCTACTATGCATGCTAGTAAAGACCCAGCAGCGGGTGATAGCCAATCGGCCGTACTAGAAGCAGGTCTGAAAAGTAGTAACTACGACGACGAAGACCACTACCACTGCCACTCACACCTCCACATGCCACCACCGTCACGACCACGACTACTACCATGACAACAACAACAAAAAAAAAAAAACA